ATTGGGGCCTAGCTTGCCGACGTAAAGGATACGTCCGGGGAGGTGAAGCAGCTTGAGGAGCAGGCGGCGGCGATCATGAAGGCGGCGAGGGCCGAGATTTCAGCGGCGCTCAACAAGATGAAGAAGGAGACCACCGCCGAGCTGGAGCAGAAGCTCGCGGAAGGTAAGAAGAAGGTGGAAGCGGAGCTGGCTGAGGCGCTCGCTGCTCTCGAAAATGAGAAGGTTGAGACTCTCAAGGCCCTCGATTCCCAAATCAAGCTCCTTAGCGACGAGATCGTCAGCAAGGTTCTCCCCTCTGCTTAATGCGTTTCATTGTTTTCTCTGTCATAAACTTCTTTGTGCTTTATTGCTATTGGAGTTACCAGACAATGTAATTATTAACGTTTTTTCTTCATTCAATCCATCTGTAAGAAGCAATTTATGACTATTTCTTTGTGCCATCTTCTTCAATTTTGATTTGATTCCTGGCTGATCAGTTTCCTGTGGATTGTTTTATTTATTGATATTGAAGTTTCACAGTGGAGGATTGAATGCATATTATGGTTGTTAATAAAAGAACTAAATAATTGAAATTACTTTGTTTTTTTGCTGGCACTCAGATCCATTTAGAAAGGCATTAGAGTTGCACGCATTTTGTTTGACATGGGATTGATGCTTATGGGTTGTTTGGTTGCTAGGATTTAGTTTGATTTGGAAGCGGTTTAATTAGCTTGAATGCTGTTTGAAATCTTGAATCTGTTAGAATTATGGGATTTGATAATTCATTCATTACCAATATGAAGGCTCATAAGGATTCAAGGAATTGGCTTTCTTTCATGATTGGTCATTTAATAGACATTTGTATGGACAAAAGCAGTTGGGTAGGTCCAAGAGGTGGATTTAACTTGTTTGTCTAGTTAATATAATAGATATGTCTAACTGAGTTGACCAAGTAACCCGACCAAGGGATCGAGCAAGGGTAGTTCGCTCTCGAAGCTAATAAATAAGAAGTATTTAAGGCAATTCGATCAACCCATTGGAGAAACACAACTAAAACACAACTAATACCATGGGTGTTAAGAATTCAATACTATGCTTCCCTGACCTGATTGAATGAACTTGCCTACTTACTACAATGCTGACCAGGTTGACAGAGTTGTTGTCGAGGATGATCAGCTAGAAGTGCTATCAGAAGAGAAATATTGTATCGATAATTTAGGCGAGGCGCCATTAGAGGAATATTATAATGCTCATGTCGGAAAAAAAAAACAATAAAGATACAAATTATCTCTTTTATTCCGTGTGTAATGATGGCATTATTTATAGCATTATAATGAATGAACCAACTCACTTATAAATATGCGTGAGTATTATAGGTAAAGGGGTAATCCCCGAACATTGTACAAGACTTATTCTTTAGTGAATATTTTTTCCGTTTTTTGGGTATGCTAATCTATACATAAATTAGGGTTTAAATTCTAAAAAATGTGGTGAGCATGGATCATATTACAAGAAATATGGAAAACGCTAAAGAATTTGTAACACAATAAATTAATGAGTCAAAAGAGCAAATGATGATAATACTAAATGAAAAGTTACGAGTATCAAGGGAGTGCATACTCCCCTCTCTAAAGTTAGCAACATAGGAAGGTGCTAGCTACTGGCGCAAGAGGAACTTAATCCCTCACTGGGTCGAGCGGGGACAAGACTTATTGGCCGAACAGTGTCGGTTTAGCTCCCTCTTATTAGGAAAGGGAGAGGAGGCGACATGAAACTCGAAGATCATATCAGTTGAAAAATACTTTTTTCCAGAGAGATTACTATGGTTGATGCCCAAGAAAAAATTAAGATTCCATTCTGAAAATTGTACAATGGTAGATCTGACCCTTCAAGACTATATTGCATCATTTAAATTGACATTTTGAACAGTGCATGTTTAGCTCTCTCAAATTACAGAAGGGGGAGGAGGCAAAATGAAACTTATTGATTATAATAGACGGAGAATGCTCTTTCCAAAGAGATTGTTGAGGCTGATGCCCAAGAAAGGTTTGAGGTCCGATATTAAAATTATACAAAGGTAGATCTGACCTCTTTGACCATATTGGATTATTTGAATCGACATCTATTTGCTTAGGATTAATGATGTAATGAGTTGTCGTTTATTCTTTATGACTCTCAAAGGGTCGACATCCAGGTGATTTAGTGATCTTATGCTAGAATTATTACATCATATGTGAATTTCAAGCGTATGTTTGCAACATAATTCGCCAACACACAGAAGTTGCAAAAGAGTTCGCAAGTTTTGTTGCGAAGTCGCCAAGAGATATGGGAGTCATTATGGGTTTGTATCACT